TATGAGCAAATACTGTCTCCCTGTCTATTGTAGTTACCATCTGTCTTGCCGCACATACTTTGCGCGGCTTGTAAATGCGCGCGCAAGGAAAATCTCCGAGATAAGGGGATGGAAAAGAGAGGATTACCTACAAAAATGGGAACGACTGCGTCCGTAGCCAGACGAATACACCGATCTTTCCATTCTCTACCCGAAAAGACTGGGATTTCAATTGGGGTTGGATTGGCTTAAACTACAAAACACCACCGCGGTACGCATTCTGTTGGCTGCCGTCGCGGGTAAATATTTATGACATCACGCTGATGGTGTTCTTAATGTATCAGATTGTAACTGCAAGAACCTGAGTCTGTGGTTCGATGATGTAACATACACCAAAGTAACCGAAATTCCGGGCTCGGCCTGTAGTCTTCCTGACTCGAGGCTACGGCATGACCTGTCGAGGACCTACCGAATAGGTTAGAAATCCCACTTGAATCAAGAGAGATAAATGTTTATTGGCAGGAATATACGAACTCCTCTTCCCTTGCGTGCCTTTATAACAACCATGTGAGTGAACTGGTTTGCTTGAGTAGGTTTTAGAATCCCCTAACACCCATTTGGACGATTAAAACTAGAATTTAGCATTTGGTGGCTGATATTCACCGAACCCTACCGCGCACCTTTAACTGTCTGCGTGGACATACGTTACTGGTTTATTACAGTAAAGAGAGCCACTGATACTCAGGTATCTTCCCTCAAGGCAGTTCGGCGCAGTCTGCACTTAGAAGTCGGACTTACGTGTTATAATCACAAGGCACCAGGAGCCGTGGGTCGGAACGTCGTCATTTGCCGGAATAACTCGATTCAATCCCGAAAAGAGTAGGACTGCAATGGCTTCGCTTTCGTGTACCTCCTATGGACCTCCAACTTATACTAAAGATCCCAGCGCATACTCGACAGACACTAGACTGCAGGCCACTTGGACCAAAGAGATGGAGGATGGTGTAAAGTCGGCAAGCTTTAGTTAAGTGCATATCATCAGACACGGTTTGCAACCTTCACGGTTCGCCAGCACTAATAGTTTGGAAAATTACAAAGTAGCGGGCGATCTCGCCTCCCCCCCCTTCTCGGAGCTAATTCCCGCTTTCTTAATGGCCCCCTCTTTTTGACCGTTATGGAGCTGTCAATTAAACAAACTTCCAGGGCATGTCTGATGTTAAGCCCTGGGTTCTGTGTGTGGCATGAGCAAACGGATTGTTTGAATACTTCCCTGCATTGCGTCTACGCCCATCTCTGCATACCTTAGATCTGTCATGCCATCGCAGCGTGATAGGCGTTGCAGGCGTGAAAAAAGGGCAGACTGTTCGTAACTTCGCTTTACTCGGAAAAAAATTCACGCACAGGTAACCGCCGCGCGCAATCCGAAGCAGCAGCAGTGATGGCGGCTCACAGCGCCTGCGACGGATGTACTATCATCCGACCTTGTGCTTTTTTAAGTTCAACGTGGAAGCTGTCTGCTTTTCCTCCCTGCTTGCAGGGAAATTAAAAAAAGTGGTCGGTAGCTCTCCCCATGCTAACCCAGAGAGGAAGTTTTGTTACCCTGCGCGTGGATTAATGCACGTGCGTCGTCCATTATGTTCGCATAATGGGCTTCCTTGATTGGCTAAAATGCAGGTCACTAGCGCACGTGCTTCTACGACCACGTGTTGTCGACTGCAAAACCAACAAGTACATACTTGCTCCTACTTACTATTGTTCGACGACATGAAGGCCTTTTTGGCCCCAGGCGTGTCTAGAACCCTGTTCTACTCTTGTTCATTGTCACGTCTTGGTTTAATTCATAGGAGACTTCTGGGATATCGTCCATAATTATCTCCCTGTCCCTCATCTTCTTGTATACTTCTAAGTAGCGGAAACCTTAAAGGAGGAGCTGTTTAAATCGTTAGAGAGTGAAAAGAACGAACTCGTAGTTCCATTATACCCCCGCGTTTCCCCTTTCTAGCGAATTTTATTACCTTTCAAGGAAAGACGTTCTTTGGGACATAAGGTAACTTTTTAGTATATTTTCGACGCTGGATCCCCAGGTCGTCGTCGTCGTCGCGTCAGACTTGAGAAGATGTGCAACGAACAATTATAAT